TTTGTTGATATAGGGCCTTCCTCTCTGCATCAAGGGCTGTACAATTAAGCAGGTATTGGGCGAATTCTTCAGTAATTTCCTTGTCACACAGTGTACATATTAAGTTTTTGCTTTAAACGTCAGAACGTGTTTTTTTTTCTGAAGACTGTAAATAGTATTCTCGACTGAGCTATACATCGTTTGACTGGTAAAGGGAAATCATCGGTTAGGTAGCATTCTGTTTCTATTGACGTATGGAAATTTTTATAATGTGGATAAAGTTTTGAATTTCTTATTCTTGATTGGTCTTTTTGTATCGATTGATCTGCCATTGTCCTAATAATAAAAGGAATATAACTTTGCAATATATTGTGATCCGAGCATACAATAAGCCATGAGAAACTGGCGTTATTTAGTGTATTTGCTAAACTCTTTGTAAATCCAATATTTTGTCTTGTAGAGGTATAAACATTCCACAAGTGAGCCAAACAAGATTGAAGGTAATCTCGTAGTGTCCATTTTTAACATTCTTAGCCAGATTTTTAACAATAATTTCTTTGCTATCATTGCGAGAGATGCTTTTCCTGTTTCTATTCTTAAAATATATCCTGGGGAATAATTTGGGAGATTTAGATATCGTCTCATAAAGGTATCTTGGATTTTATTCAATATTAACTCTTGTTTATCTGACCAGATTGGAGAAGCATATAGTAGAGTTGTTATAGCTATGGTATCGAACAGCTTCTTTGTTGAGTGAAAATAATTTAACTTGGATTTCATAAGAATCTCCCATACTGCTTCTATATATGCTATGCCCTCACCTTTAAAATGAAGAGCTGTTTGGGTAAATGAAATTGATGGGGTTAGCGGATATCCCAGGTATAAATATTTCTGTGTAGATTTTATGATTTGTTGGCCCCAGTACCATTTTTCAGATCGTGCTGGTTTACCGCCGTTTCGAAAAAACATTATTTTTGACTTGCTTTCATTCAAAGTTAAAAAATTAGTTTCCAAATATGTTTTTAAAATATTAATTTTCATTTGAAGATTAATTCGATATTCATCAATTAAAACTATATCGTCCGCATAAAGCAGTATATGTATGTTTCCAAAGTTAGGTAAATATATTCCTGGAAAATTCGAGTCGTGAAATATTTTGCTGATATCATTTATGAAAAACAGGAATAAATATGGGGAAAGTGGTTTTAATATATATATAGTAAATAAAGAAAAGGGAATCTCCTTATTGTGCAACTAAAAGTTGCTGATGGCTGGCGCCATCTATCGGAATAAATATCAACCAATCGTTGATTTTTTATTATTCCAGAATTGGCCAAATACCCATTTTTGATTAATAAAGAAAAGCTAACCAAATGGCTGTGGGCCCTCGTCAGCGTGCTGCAAGCTGTACCTCAACGACCAAAAGAGTTGGTCATTCAGGCATCTTGAATATTTATGAAACGGGTAGTTAAGGCCAGAATTGTGTAAGGACGCTAAAAAATGTGAAGAAATAGTACATATGTGACATTGTATTGGGATAAGGTGAATAAATTAAGAAAAAGGCATCTCCTTATCGGGCAACTGAAAGTTTCAGAAGGCTGGAGCCATCTATCTATTTGGCGCCGTTTCATGATTTTTCAGGATGCCTGAATGACCAATTTTTTTGGTCGTTGAGGTACAGCTTGCAGCACACTGACGAGGGCCAACAGCCCAAAACGCGTATGTGGTTAGCTTTTCTTGATTAATCATCTTCGGGGATGGAATTTACGGCATTGATAAAGGCTTGCAGTGCTTCCTAATCAGTGTTTAATTTTATCCCTTTCAACAATAACTCAACTTTTGGGAATAAAATAAAGTCACAAAGTGCTAGATCCGGTGAATATGGGTGACTAATTGACACCAAAGTTGGCTAAAAAGTCTAATGTTTGGGCTGAGGTGTGCGGTCTTGCATTGTCATGGTGAAGAAGGACTCCTCTAAGTTGAACTCTTGGTCTGCTATGCTGGATTTTTTCAAATACTGGTGGAAGGCATTTTGTTGTATACCAGTCACTATTAACTGTCTTTCGATCTTCTAACTTACAATATCAATGAAGCCACTTTTTCTAAAAAAACAAGCGACCATGTGTTTGGTCAACTAACAAGTTTTCTATATTTTAAATTATCATTAATGATGGTGTTGATTGCTACCGATCCAATGCCCACACCTTTCTCTATATGCTGATATCTTATTCTTCGATCTTCTCTAAGTAAAAATCTTACCAGCTCAATTTTATCTTGGATCAATACTGTCGGTGGTCGACCTGAACGAGGTTCATCTTCAACGTTGGTTTTTCCTGATTTAAATTCATTAAACCTATTAAAAACTGTTCTAATAGAAGTAGCTATTTTTCCTAAAGCTTTCATCAATATTTCATGGGATTCTTCAGAAGTTAAATTACTTTTATAATCATAAAATATCATGGCGCGTAAAATTTCTCTAGTCAACTCCATTGTGTCTTTTGCAATGTTTAGAAATTACCGCTGCTGCTGTAAACAGAGTCGCGCCCTCTTTATGTCAGTGTTGTTACTATTATATAAAATGTTTATGTTAGATAAAAAATGCATGTATATTTTAATGATATTATTTATTTTTATTATTTTAATTATTTAATATTGATTGTAAAAACCTTTGGAGTGGCCCTTGTATATCGAATTATTTTTATGAATTCCAGCCGCTCACAACGCCACAAGCTGCTTCCCCTATTTTCCCATTTGTTAAATATACAAATTTTATTCTATAGCCCATTTTAGACCATCACAGTCAGTTAAAATTTTGATATTTGTACACTTGCGTTGTGTTATCTGGATTAAATGGGTGTACAAAATTTCATAATTCTATAGGGCCAGAAAGTAAATAAAAATTGATCTGAAAATTGAGTGTAAAAAATGGTCAATTCCCGAACACCCCGACCACATATTTATAGAACTCCAGCCGCTCATAATGCCAGAGAAACAGCTGCGCCTATTTATTTTCATTTGAAAGGAAATTAACAAATTATCTAGTCTATTCCCGACCACCACGGCTACCTAGAAGTATGATATTTTGGAATCTTGAAATATTAGTATGATTGATCTAGTCTATAATATACCAAACCTTTACATGGTCAAGAAGTATATTCAAATTTAAATCACCGATATTAAAGAAATAATAGGAAATCCGTCCATTCCCGATCACCTAGAAATTTAAAATTTTGTCAACTTGCATTATTAGTTGTATTTATTGAGTCTTACAAATTTTCATACTTTGTGTGTTCTGGTTTTACATTAATAATTGATCATAAAATTTGAAAGTAAATATATAAATTAAAATTAGCTTATTTCCGACTATCCCGACCACCCAGAAGTCTGAAATTTTGTTAACTTCCAATATTTTCAAGTTTGAATAAGTATACCGAACTTCAAACATCTATATGCTCTGTAAGTGTGGCAAAAATGATTACAAGATCTGAGGACAGACAGACGGGCAGATAGACATATGTAAGTAAGTTGAATAAAAGCTTTTTACACTATAAAAATTGTTGCCGTTGACACACCTATGACTTCTCCTACTTTACATATTTTGCTCGTTGACCTGAGAGAATCATGTCCAGGACATATTCAATAAATATCTCAGTAACCACATCTGCTTTCTTGACACCGGAAGATACATCTACATGGTCTTGGTGTGCCATGTGAACTTTTCTTCTTAAACCGTTTAGAATGATAAAACTGAAGAGACGTAGTCTTTTCCGATAGAAGGGTCATTATGGCGCTAGCCTCGCCGACCAACGTCCAAGGTACGTTGGAACCTTACAACTGACAGAGTCAAAGAACTTGAAGCCAACATAATAACTGACAGTAATAACTCAGCCAGACTATTTCTAGTTAAATTAATTAACTAATGCTTACAGAGTGTGTGGAGGAAAGCATCTTCTGCGGTTGGTAATTAAAATGTTTAGCTCTCCCTCCATAATTAGTTGGCATTTGCAGAAGACAAATAGAGATTTCCTGGAAGGTATTTCCAGAGACTCTCCTTTATAAAATAATCTCGTTTTCAATTGCTAAAATATTCAAAACAAATACGTTAAATTATAAAAGTTTCGTTTTCATCGTTTGGCCCATTGATGAGCTATCAACTCGAAAGCTCGCCTTCTAATTGTCTAAATTAAAATAAACATTTCGTTTATCATCTGAGTGAATTTCTTTTAAAATCCCTATTTGATTAGTCGATTCTCTCTCTCTCTCTCTCTGTGAATATTCAAATAAGTATCTTGGTTTATTATGTAGAAATGAGCCAAATTACATACAGGCCAACTAAATTGTTTTAATCTCTCTTCGTTGCCGCGCGCGGTAAAATAACAGTTATTCAAAATATTTTACGGTGTTCTGATGATATATACTAATGTTAAAACCTTTTCTTTCTATCAGCAACCGTTTTGAAGATGCAGTATTCCTATTTATAATATGTTGAACACATTTTATCCATTTGGGCTATGTTGCTATTCCAATGGTAACGAGTTTAACTGTAATTTAATATTAACCAAAACGGCGAGGAAGCTGAATCTTTTGAATGAAATCAAATATATAATAAAGAAATAACTTCTCATTTTATAAGGCTCATTAATTCTAGGTAGAGTTTCCTAGGTAAGGATTGTGTATTAAAAAGATGAAAAATCAATTTAAATTATCGAAACTATTTGAAAATTCTCAGAGTTAATTGGAAAACATTTGGAAACTCGAGTTATGTCGACAAATGCAACCAATTATAGCGTTATTTCCAAGCAAACATAGTCGTATGTCGCCTACTATAGATAAAGCTTTTTCGCAATGTGTACAATATTATCTTTAAATTTTTGGGAAACATATACATTAGCGTATTAAATGTTGCAATAATTATTATGAGGAATGTTTTTATATAATTGCATATAGGTTTCCTCCTTGACATAATGGTTTGAAATCAAGCTTACCACGCTGAAGTTCGAACCCAGGTAGGTTAGCTTATTTCCAAAATAGCTCAGTTGAGAAAGCATTAGACTGATGTTCTAAAGGTTCCAGGTTAGATCCGGGTTTCGGCATCTTTTAAAATGTATTTAATGCATTGAGGGAGAAGTAGTATAAACATTGAATTTTTGCGACAAATAAGACCCGATTTCGAATCGCGAATTGAGATATATTTTTTTGAAAATTTGCTCCAATCGGTTTCGAATCTTGCAAAAGTTCAATCCCACCAGTGAGTGTAAGAGATCCAACTTCTGACACACTTGTAAGTGCAAAAGTAGAACTACTCTCTACACGTGATCACATATGGTGCACTTGCAGTAAAAGCAGTTCCTAACTACCCACCATGATTATCATGGCCTGAACAAAAATGTTACAATTTTTCTCGAGAGCTGTGATGAATGGTCTATTTACATATTCATATTTGTAACATCGAAATAATACCGGTATAATTATAAAGTTTTACACCCAATTCAAAGACGGCCATGTTATGTTCACAAAAAAGGGAGGATATGAAATATACGGTTAACTGTGGTAAAAGAGACAAGTAACGGCGAGGTTCATAAAGAACGTCCAACAATAGCATCCTGAGAATAGTCCACGGTCCGTCACTCTAACATAAGACGTATGATGGATGTTTAGATAAACTCATCAGTTAATAAATGCCGAGCGAATACGAGCGTTTTAGTTTATTCTAAGTAAAGTAAGACAACATGGCGATGGAAATCTTGCCTTGAGGATTTTGGGTAATAAAATAAAGGCCACCTCTCACCCGACAAAATGGACGCTAAAACTAAGCGCCATCTATTGACCGTCTCCGCAAACTAGCTAATTAGGATCAGCGACAAATGTAACTAGACCAGCTTTGCATATTCAGAACCCCTATTTGGAGACCATGATTTTAAGCTCGCAAAATTTAAAAAAATTAATGCTGCGGCTTTTTACCGACCTGAGTCCGCTAGTTCGCGGAGATGGGGCTTAAATTTAGCGCCAATTTTGATGGAAGAGATAATAGTTATTTTAAAAACATGACGAGTCGTTCATTAAATAAATTATTACTGGGGAAAAGAGCTGGTAATATTTCATTGTAAATAAACATGTAATAAAATGTGAACAATGTAGTACAATATGTGTTAAAGTTACACGGATGGCAGGAAAACGATTGGAGATATCATTCTGTAACTGTGTGTGTGTGTGTGTGTGACAATGACAATTGAAAATAATTTATTGTCTTCTAGACAATGTTACATCTCAACCAGGAGGGTGAAAAAGAAATATTTATATTGACAGTTGTCAGGAATCAAGGCATCGCCGCCTAAGACTGGCCAAATCGGAGCTAACATCGGGATGGTTGCCCCGAGCCGGTTCTATGGCCGCGCAGAGGAACTCAGCGAGGACTCCCCTCATCGCAGGTGTCAGTCTCGCCATGAGGGACTCTCTTTCATCGATGAAGAGAATGGCATCCTTGATGTCATTCGGTTGGATCCCTGATTGATATAAGGGCCTTAGGCAGGTTAAGTGCTTCAGTTTCTTGAAGATTTCAATAACCATACACTCCTCCCTCATGATCGGCGTCATCTCCTCCTCGTCGGGAGCAGGTGGTATCGGCCCGGCAGGCTGAGGCGCGGGCAGTGGGGGTGTTGGAGGCACTGCGGCTGGCGAGGTCTTGAGCGCCGCCCTAGATGTCGATGTCTCCTCGATTGACATCTCAACGTCCAGTGTAGGGACTGCAGGCCCGTGACTCCCAGGAGCCCGCAGGGACGGAGCAGGGGCGACAGGTGGAGGGGCAGGAGGCGCCATCTCCGTAGGTATGGCCGGGGCCACTGGTGGTGATTGCCGGGGTGCTGCAGGTGGAAGCGCAGCTCGGCTTGTGGAGGGCACTTCGGAGACCTCCATGGCTGGACTGGGGGACGCCGGTGGTGGAGGCTGGGCGGATGGCTGCTGAGGCAGGCCAGGCGCAGACGCTGAAGGGACGCTGGTTGGAGAGGTAGGTGTGGCCGGTCCAGGAGCGTTGGTTCGCCCTGCAAGCAGGGGGCAGTTGGCCCGGCGATGTCCTTGGCCTCGGCACCTGGAGCATCTAATCCCGGAGGATAGGTATGCGGGCCAGGCCTCGCCTTTGATGGTGATGTTGAGACGGGTGGGCAGTCCCTCGATGGTCATTCCTTCGCGGAGGATGATGAACGCCTCTCGGCGGCCGTCGTTATAGGTGTATGGGCCCGCTTTCATCAGCTTGGGGGCGATGGATGTAACTCGCCCAAGATGTGTAAGGGCGCTGATGACGGCTGCATCCCCCACGAAGAAGGGGAAGGTTGCCCACCGTTATTCGCTCCGCCCTCTTGCGGAACGGGAAGACCCTGTGGAGTGTCCCCTCCACCTCGAGGCCTTCGTTGACGAGGCGCTCGGCCATGCCTCTGTTTGCCAGTCCCACCAGGAAGTGGCCGTTCATCTTGGTCACTTGGAAGACCTCCCTGGTGCTCCCAAACATTCGATCCATGGCCCTCATGTAATGGTAGGGCTCCAGTTCAGGGCTGCGCTCTACGTAGACGCAGTGGTCTTCTGTTGAGGACGCCTGCCGCGCCCTGGCCTCCACGATGTGCGCTCGGGTAGTCCTGACTTCCTGGGCGCGCGGCGCCCATCCTGCCGAAGATTGCGGACGGCGGTTAGTTCTGGCACCTCCTAAATTGGAAGAAGGTGCGGCCGCTGGAGACGAATTCGCCGAGCCGCGACGTCTCTTTCTTTTCTGGACAATGGTGAAGTTGCCCTCATATTCGGAGTTGCTATCCTCCGATAATTCTGCCCAGTTTCTATGGGCTTGGGCAGCAGCCTCAGAGGAAGAAGCAGCGGCAAAGTCGGTCGGCGCGGCCGGATTTGCATCCTTGCCGCCGGTAGCCGGATTTGCATATCTTTGATTCTTCGTCGATTTCATTGAAGAATTGAACTCAAAGCGTTTCTCGCTGGTAACTCCGCACTGGGCTGTGCTTTTGAGCCGTGCCTTGCAGGCTTTTCCTCGGCTTTTGAAGGGCTTCCAGCCCGTGCCAAACTCGGCGTATTGCCGGAACTCATACATCCGCCAGAGGCAAAATACGCGGAGCTCGCGCGACGCGTGGCCGCACGGCCGAGTGTGTGTGTGTGTGTCATGAAATAGCATAAAAAGTATTTACAAGAACTAGAATAGCAGGCCAAAATTTATAATAATATTTTAGCAAAGTGTTTCTTTTAAAATATAAATATATATTATTAAATATAATTTCTTATAATATGTATCAAAAGAAATATGTTGCCAAAATAATTATCACAAATTTTATTGGTAGATGGCAAATGAATTCATAAACATATCAGTTTTCTCTCTCCAAATCATAATAACTGCCCCTCAATTGTGGCGAGATAGGAACCCTAGACAGGATGGGCGACGTCGTCTGGAATCTTGTATTTCTGGTAGGGCTACCCAAGTTGTGAGGACTATCTCACTAAGCCCATAGTGATAAAGTCGTATTCTTACCTATGTTGACCTCAGATGTCCTCAACAACAGAAAAGAAAATTTGGTATTATTTTTATTGTTCCTGTTGTTACTTGTTTCCTTCACAAGTCGAATTCAACTTTTAGAAGTCTTTATGGGCAATATTTCCAATTTTATCTACTAGAGACCATCACTCTCTGCTCATCTAGTAACCTTCCGGTAGATTTCTTGACTCCTCTGCATTATACTCTCCTCTATTCTGACTAAAAAAGAGTGGACTTCTTGTTTAACAAACAAAGAATTAAGCATCACCACAAGAGGGAAGCTTTATTTTACAGTTTTGAAAATTATATCTTTATGGCGCCTACATTATTAAAATATCTACACTCAGTGTACCAATATTGTAACCCAAATTTTGAACAGGAAGAATATTTTATTCCTGCTTTATCGTGCACATATATCCCCAACCGACCTAGCTACTTGTAACTTTTTCCATTTCCACTTGTGAAGTGAGAACCTTGGCGTTAGTGTGTTGATATTTATACTGAGATGGCGGAGGAATGTGGGCAGTTTTGAAAATTGTTGTCAAAACGTTCCAAAAGTTTTAAAATGATGATAGATAGTCAGGGTCTTTCATGAATATCAGTTAGGTAGAGGTGGTAGATAGGCGGTACCCAATTCCTCTCCTATCTTCACCCGCGAGTATTCATCTGGTATTTGAAACAAGATTACGACTATTCGATTCTCTGGTACTCTATATTGAGATTCTGAGATGAAGTAGGAACTCTTCTGAGAAAATTAGAACTGACTTCTTCCTTTTGTGATGGAACTTTACAGCTAAATATTGACTCTCTCTGATTGGAGGGGACTCTAGAATCACAATATTACGAAGGAAACAATACGAGATCTGTTACAAAAAAAGATCGAAACAACATGAGGCAGATCCTCTTCCTCGGACCGTTTTGTGGCTTCCTTATCCCGACACAAATTGAAGTAAAACATTTCCTTGAGTTACCCTATCCAAACCCCACCATAAACCCAGGCCTTCACTCTCTAACTCTAAAAAGTGCGACGAACGTCATCGTTCCTCCCTCACTTCAACACAATTAATTAATTAGGCTCATGTAGAATATAATTACTCCGGTATTTAACATATGACGTTTATCAATTTTACCCAATACACTTGGCGCGGAATGGCCCAGTCAATTACCAAGTATATTAGATCGTGCCTCACTTGCCAGTTAATTGAAAGACCCAAAGGCTACGATTAGGGTACCCCCCCCCCCCCCCATTTCATACCCATTCGATACATTATCTAAATACACCAAAGCCGGATTTTCAAAATTTGGCAGTTTAAACCTTACCTCCACGTTATTGTCGATCACCTAAGCCGTTACGCATGGACCTTCTCGTCTAAGTCCACCAACACCTTCATATTTGACAGTGCTTAAAAAATGTAATGCAGATCAATACATACAAATTCCTTTTTTCAGACAGAAAACCTGCGTTTACCTTACCCAAGTTCAGGAAATTTTTAATTAAACATGGTATATACACAATCCCTTCTCACCACAAGTAAAACCCCGCAGGCCAACGGCTCCTGTGAGCGCCTAAATGCG